TTTGTTGGCAGGGTGATGTCTCTACTTTTTATTATGCTGTCTAGTTGTGCCATAGCTTTTCTCCCAAGGAGTAGGCATCTTTTAATTTCATGGCTGCAGACACCATCTACAGTGATCAGTTTTCATTAGGCCTGTTTTTTTAAAAAAATTCCCCTTTTGATTAATTTACAAAGTTATATGCTTCTACATATTTGGGGACTCCTCTAAATATGTAGAAACCCCTACTGATCTGCAGGTGGCTAGTTTTGCTGCTTTTGTTGTCATAATGGGCAGCAGCCAGTTTACTGTTACCTACAGAGACAATTTGGGGGAGCATGAGGAATCACAACGGGAGTAAACAATTAGGAAATCCTATCCTATCTGTCAAAATCTCCCCCCTTCCAATCCCCACAGGAAGTCTTCAGCAGACTGACTTCTCCCCCCTCCCCACATTCTCAGTGTTACCCTAAGCAAAGTTACACCCTCTCTGACTTCCATGGCCTTAGAAAGATGTAATTCTGCTTAGGGTTGCACTATCAGCTGCTCTCAATGTTACATCGTTTTGGATCACAGACTAGAGGCTTCCTCCCCCTTTGTAAATTAATTTATGTTGTTTTTAACATATCTCGAGAGTCCCTGTGCAGGTAGAGACCCTTGTTAGTGAATGGCCCCACTGTCCTATTTTTAGTATCCACACAGGGGCAAGCCCACTGATGAATAGGGTGCAGTTAGTCCAGGGTGATGAAATTGGGGAAGTTTAGCCTCACATGCTAATCCATTTAACCAGTGTATTCTGGATAATGGGGCAAGAAGAAGGGTAAAAACTTTCCAAGGGGCTCCAGAGAACATTATACTGAGTTTTGAAAAGATTTATTGTAAAAACCCCTAAGTATCACTTCTGAATACATAATATCCGACACAGAGTACTAACAATTTCCAATATTTGTGAGCAGGAGACATTTTCCCCAAACATGAAGAAACTCAGCATAGTTTTCATTGCATCTCCTGTTTCTGCTAAAATAGGAATGATATATGGTTTTGAACCACACAAGGATAATAGCACTGATAAGGATTATATATGTTCTCTGTTATAAGCAATAATGGATCACAGACTAGGTCCAATTGTGCCCTTCCACATGCTAAACACATCTTCCACTCATGGGAGTTCCATTTTGGACACCATGCCAAAGCACTGAAGTAAATTCAAAGCTGTTACCTGCACTTGTGCAAAAAATTGCATGACGTTGCACAGGTGGAAGCGGAAGGGATGCTATATAGGTCCTTTTATAGCACTGAAAAGACTCTTGGGCAAACTGTTGCACAAGTGTTTGCAGAGGTGTACTAGCAGCTATTTTCTGTTTACTTATGAGTCACTGGATACAAGCCCATAATTACAAACAATACATTTTAATGTACTCATTGTCTCATCTTAGATTATGCTTCTATTGTTTTTTCTGACTCTAGCAACATGGCACATACTTTGGAGTCAGACAACATAACTTTAGGTCTATAGCTACTCTTATTTACTCAACTGACTAAAAATCATAGTCCCCAAATACCAAACAATGTGCTTTGGTGGGTATTCTGATGCGAATGCTATTTTTTAATTTCCCTAAATTAATAAATAAAATAAACAAACATGGATAATGTATGTGCCACCACTTCAGAATCTTGCCTGAGGTGACTTGTTCAATATATTTTAAATCTTCTGATGCCCCATTGCCACACAGGACTGAAAGAACATGGCAACATTCTGATAAAATTGTCACAGAGAGTGTCCCTGTAATGAACTGTGGGAAAGGATCCCAGGAATTCATTAGGATTTTTTCTACATTTTGCGAACATCCTAGGCTCTGCCGCCTGCCTTCACAGAGTGACCTGCTTTGACACTCAGAAAAGCCTCACCGTACTTTGTGGAGAATTTTTCTCTCTGGACAAGCTAATCCTTTTTTTCCTGTCTCCATCTCTGAGGGGAAATTCAAGCCTTTTTAGGCCCTTGCCCTTGCAAGTGGGAAAGAGCAGACACAAAGGGGCACAGACTATAAAATTCTCCTCCCAGTGAGCTCACAGGTACATTTCCTAGAATCATTTAGCAGGGTGGCTGCTGTGAATGGTGATGTGCGTTGTCATCTGGGGAGGT